CACACATCTATATGTACATACATATGTATGTATGTATGTATATATACGTGTATATACGTACCTTCCCGCTCGGGGATCCTTTTTGTATGCGCGAGTAAATTGTAATAACGGCCGAATGCAAAATCGCTGCCGGCGTTTTCTCCGCTCAAACGTCGCGTGAATTACTCGCGGACTTACCAGGAATGAAATAGCGCGGGCGCGTTTGCGAAATTGCGTAGCGCCCGGTGGAATCCGGTGCGGCCGCGCCATTCTCGCAGATGAAAGGAATCGCCATATCGCGGTATAGCATAATACCGACTTTTCGTAGACGGTATAATAATTACCATTTAGCGGGGGGATAACTTAAGCAGGTGCGTGCGTCTCGTAATTCCGGCGCTCGCGTTGTATGCGCCTCTCGCGGAAATGGAAATTTATGCCTCTCCACTTCTGATTCCCCTCGTCGCACGCTCTCTGTTCCGCGTAATACGGCATAATGGTAATAATTATTGTTGTTTAAATTGATGAAGCGATCCCCGTGCAATTCAGATTAGGCGCGATTGCCGTCTAATTACAGCGACGATATCATGATAATGTGACCGGTAAAGGTCGCTGTCGTTAATCCGAGTTTTTTTTTCACAGTATTTATTTTATTACGCGAAAGAGACACCTGGTTTACGCGCGGACGCAAGTCGATTATTCCGCGTGAAGTTTCGCGGGGATAACGGCGAGACTGAGATGTTATTTCATTCGCGATTACAAGAATGCACGTAAAGGGCCGCCAAACCGCGCGATAAATTTCTATTATGCGCGGGGGGGAAGAGAGAGAGAGAGAGAGAGAGAGAGAGAGAGAGAGAAAGAGAGAGAGAAAGAAGGGTGGTCCCCGGGTATCAAGGGAAACGCAGGGACGCGTTGTAAATTACTCGATGCGGAAACGAGAAGCGAGGAGACAAAGTACACTCTCGCGGTTCCCTTTACAAATTTTCCCAGATCCCATTTAATTTCCCGCTGTTGTTTTCACGAAACTTCCTCCTCCTTCATCCCCTTTTGCAACGTTAAATCCTTACCAACGTTATTTGACAAACTATGTGTAAACTATGCCAGAGTTATTTGCCATTTTGTTGCTGCGAGTATAATTCTCAGTAGCTGTGTACCTCCCCCGTTTGACGTGTTATAGTTTCTAAGAAAGTAAATTAAATTCTGTCAAAAAGAGACCAACCCCGGCTTATCAGATGTGATCGGTCTTTTTCGGCAGGAAACGATACGATCGTGAAGGTTAATTCTTTCGAATAAAGAAATTTTGCATTTTTCTTTGCAGTTGACGGAAGTCACGGCGCCAGAGCCTGCGAAGCCTCGTAAGTACTTGAAAACTTTCTTGTATTTTTTATGTTGCATGCCATTCGACAAGGTTCAAGAGCGTTATTGCATTCACGCGTTGATAAGTTTTTCTCGATTGCAATTCCACCGCGGTGTATCGTACCGAAAAAGAAAAAAGATAATCGCTTTTGCGCATTATGTAAGCGTGTAACGAGTCACTTGCATTCGCGTAATTGGTACGCATTTTCTCGCGCGCGCGCACTTATTTTTATACGAAATTACTTGTTACGTATGGGAGGAATATTTAATGATTATTATATTATGTTTTTAAACAACTTGGACGCGGGTGCGGAGCATCCTCGTCGTGCACGCTGCGTTTTCACGTTTCAAGTTGAAGTTTTATTAACGTCAGCGTTGAACGCACTACCGTCACCTTTCGGGCCTCTCTTCCTCCCTCCCTTCCTCCCGCCAGCCCAGGCAAAACCGGCGTTTACCGTAATTTTTCACGATAAAACACTGGGTGTGCCAGAACGCGGAATACAGGATCACCGGCGGACATAATTTCCGGAAACTGTCCGCCGCATTCGTCGACGATTAAAAAACGCGACGCCGCGTGCATCGTTCGAAACGATATTTTAAAGTCACGCGGCCGGTCGAATGGATATTAATCGGCGCGTCTGTAATTCGCGCGTGCAGTATCGATGCGAAATTCACGGATCGATGCGACAGGTTTTTACTATCCTTCCCCCACCACACACACATACATATATATTATATATCCGCTTAACATGTTTTCATTAAAAAAAATAAAAAAAACAAGAGTATATTTTCGCGGCGGAAATGCGCCGCCGAATGTAAAACCTGTGGATTCCGCGCAAAACTCCCGACGATCGTCGATTTTGCGGGCGCGATTTCATGAATCAACTATCCGACCTCTGGCATTCGTTCATTTAGCCGCTTAAGCGCGCGAAATACGCGTTATTTATTCGCTCGGCTCGTACCTCGCGACTCATTATTTATCGCGAATACGCAGGCCGGCTTCGCGCGAAGCCGTTCGTTCTGTAGTTTAATCTCGTTATCAGTTCCTTGTAACGTTTATATCACTATCGATACGCCCGCTGCTGGATCTTTAATTTATATATTTATTCTACGGCAAGAACTTCGAAATAATCGAAATGATCTCACCGCGCGAAAATAGATGAAAGCGAACTCGCAATTTTTTATTTTTCCGAACAAAGAGATGCATTCCGGCTTAAACATCAGTATTTGTCACGACGATTTGTAAGAAGTGATTTTTTTTTGCGTAAACGCGATTGCCCTGCGGAGGGAAAATAACCCTTACTCTTGCGTTTGTTGTGCAATGGTTCGAAAGCATAATATTCGCATTGGATGCATTTAAATATTTGACATCTCGCCGAATGCCGCGGTACCGGAAGCTTTTCAGAGCTGTAGCACACTTTCATGTATACTTTAAATTCGACATTCTCCTCCCGATGCATAGAGACCCCCAAGAGGGGGTCGTTACTATTAAAAATAAATTAGCAATCTGCGTTTAATACCAGCATTAATATTAACGCTAATGTCATGATTTATTAACATGATGTTTCGTTAAATGAGCGGCCTGTTTATGCAGGAATTAATTACAGACTCCATCGAGAGATTGCATTCATTACAATAAATAATAATAATAGTAAAACCGGTTTGAGCGGCCAAATTATTTAACGCGCAAAATCGATTTTTGCGTCACGCGGCTAATTTACAAGAGAGTCGGATCTTCGCAGAGATCTACGTCTTCGCTTCGTTTAACGAGTACGTAGATCTCTGTGAAAGATCTGCGGATTTCGGCGATATTCCGGCATTTCTAAACGAACGTGGAAGGCAGAAAGGGTTACTGTTTCATGAATTAACCATTTCTCTCCCCCCCCCCCCCCCACGTTTCCTGCCCAATGCTCGAATACAGTGGCCACTTTACAACGACTATTATCGGGGTTACAGCCGCCCCTCGTCAACGATCGGGCGGAACGAATTTGCTTCTCGTTGGGTAAATTTGAACTAGTCCCCCGCGATAAGCCTATTTCGCGCTCTTTTACATGATTGCATTGTGTGAAAATGACGTGACTCAGCGAGTCAAAGAAGCGATTAATTGATCCTTGAAAACCGGACCGGAGATGAATAGAGATTAAATAGATACTTTTCACAGAATTGTTTTAAATCTTTACTGCTTTATTTTTCTTTAACAGGAAATATTAAAAATTATTAATTAATATTAAATGTTAAAATCAGCAGTGTACAAATATTCATGTAGATAATAGTATAGTAAAAATTATAATAACGATAAGAAAATTATGTGTTCATATTAATCATTATATAAGAGAAATTAATAGCTCCTCATATAATAAATTTGTTAAAGTCAGTTGATAAAAATTATCGATTTGAATAGCCTGAATAACAAGTAGTTTATAGAAAGTTAGACCTTTTTATAAGTAACGATGTTATAATTATCTCATATTAATTATGCATATACAGTTGCGGTTTACGTGAGGTATCTTATGCACGATTGCATTAAATGAATGACATTTCTCGTAAGATTTAGCGTTCCTGGCGGGAGCTTAAAATTACCGCGGAATGCAGAGATCTTCTGCAAAGGGCAAGAATATCCGAACGGAGCGCCCACGTTTCTTCATCGGAATTTCACGGAACGGCGTCGTATATACTGCGGTTACGACTTATCAATTTATTTCTCTCTGGAATCACGTAGGTCGACAGCTCTCCGTTAACGAGGTCCGGTATATCTTCCACGAACTGCAACAGGATCCGCCGAAGAGAATCCACTCGTGGAAGTTTCTCCCGGTCTGCTCGCGATCGGAAAATATCGTATTCTCCGAAAATTCGCGATTCCGAGTGTTCGCGAGGTACGTGTACTCGGGAGGAAAAAGTCGTGGGTGGCCTTGTATTATCTCTTCGCCCATTCCTCATCCCCGTTACGTCACCGAATGCAACGACGAGGTGTAACAAGGAAACGGGAAATCGACGTCGATGTCGAAAGTAGCATTGTATAAATTTCGCGGGGACGCGAAAGGGAGAGAACCGTCGGATTTTACCCGCGACTGCGAACCTCCGAAGTTGAACTTTCGCATTTGAACTCGCTGTGTGTCGACTCGCAGCGAGTTTCGATCCGGCCTGTACCTCGACGCTCCATTGAGCAAATTAATGAGGACCGCGCGACATTATTGAGCCACGCAGGCGCGCACGTGTAACATCGCCGGCACATAATACCAAACCGTTGTAATATCGTGATCTGCGAGCGAGCCCGGTGAACAATATTATACGTTACGCAACGCAACGCGGATTGCGCAACGTTATGTCGAAAAAAAAACAGCCTACGATTTTATTACACGCGAAATAGACTTTAATTTTCGATTGACGGATCGTCTTTGATCGATTTGAGATTGATTTCCGTTTGCAGCTGGAGAGTTCTCCTCGTCATTTGGATTTATTAAATTTGATTTTCACCCGAACTAAAAGTCTTACACTCGTTTTTACACTTTGTTTTACCGAGAGACCTTTGTTCTAAATTTAGAATTTACACAAAAATTGTTTTTTACTCTGGGCTCTTATTAGGATTCTGTGTTCGGTCCTTTTGTTATCAATAAAAATCTTGAAACTAATTTATCGCGGAACTCTCCGAGTAATTCACCGAGGGTTGCACATTCAAGCACGCTTCGCGGAAAAAAAAGTCCCGATGTTCCCTTGATAAATAAGAAGACGTGTTACGTGGAGGATTTAATTCCGCGAAGCGGGAATCGTTCCTTGATTAAGCGGAAGGCAAAGGAGTCGAGGTCGTGTCGGGCTGATTAAGAGAGAGAGAGAGAGAGAGAGGAGGGAAACATGTTAAACACCGGAATCCCGACACGCGTGCGATACCCACGCCCACGCCCACGATGCACGATGCTCTCGCCTACCTGCGCACGCGTGCCCACGCAAACTAAACCCATATTCTCCTTCCCCACCGCCGAGGGTGGTGTCGGTCGTCATGTCGGTGTTAATGAGCGAAGGCGCGATCGCGTGACCGACGACCTTTGACGAACCTCAGGCCATAGACGCCGGCGGGGTTGAACGAGGGATGAACGGCGGTGCCGAATCGTTCATCCCTTATTCACCCCAGCGATCAAACAACTCGACAATCAACGGCAATCGTCGCGTCAAGTTTTCTTTTCTGCAGGGAATTTCCCGGCGATATCCGCGAACGCGAACGTGGACAGTAAAGTTTCATATCGGGGATCTGAAATATTTAGAGGCCTGAATTTTATATTGACCTAAATCCGGAAAGGTTAAATGAAATATGAGGGTTGCCTTGCCTCTCTTTAGAATTCTCTAAATGGCAGAGTATTAATCGAGAAATATGTGTCGTTTATTACGAATTTCGCTTGATTTAAAAATGAGAAATGGCTAAGCGCCTTTCTTTCCCAACGACTCATGATTTTTTACGCCATCCGAGTTTCTCATTCATGGGGTATCACAAGATTCCTTCTTTACTTTGGATTTCCTCGCGAAAAAGATAATATAAAATTTTAATATTTTTGGGGAAGTTTGATACGATCCGAAATGGAAATCCATTGCGACAACAAGTGTGTGAGTCGTAAAAGTATCCGATAAAACGTCATTTTGACAAACGTCTGTGAATGATCGCGTTTTCTCGACGAGTACGCGCGAAATGGGCGAAACGGGATTACGATGAATTACTACGTGCTTTGCGGAGTCATCGCGGAATTCAGGAATGGATGTCGATCAATGTCGGTTTGGTTTGAGGTCGAATGCTTATGCGACCCAGTGAGAAGCTTCGGTTTCCGGTTCCCGTGTGCATACAAGAGACCTTTCGTTCTTAATAAATTGCTCTCGATCTTCATGAATCATTCCCTCGTACGTTCCTTCACAAAGATCATCTTCCCCTGTTTCTGTCATCTTTTCTTCCAATATTACTTTCTTTTCAGTCACATGCCATTTCTTTCTCTTTCTCTTTTTCGCATTTCTCACTGTC